GTTCTGTAGGGAAGGGGGCTGGTGGGGCAGGTGGTCTCCGTGTCTGACCCCTGCCCGCAGCCCCCTGTGCCCCGGGAGGGTGCCCCAACGCCTCGGGGTGCGCGGAGGGGCTGCGCCCCCTCCCCTGCGCCCCCTGCCCCGCCTCCTGCTCCGACCTGGCTGCCGCCGTCACCTGCCCGCGACCCCCGCCCTGCCGCCCAGGTGAGGGGGACACGGGGGGCTCGGGGAGGCTCCCCGGTGTGGGGGGCACCCCTGACGCCCCCGGCCCCCCAGGGTGCTGGTGCCCGGCGGGGCAGGTGCTGGACGCGGGCCCCGCGGGGTGCGTGCGGCCGCGGCAGTGCCCGTGCGGGGCCGGGGGGCGCCGCTACCCCCCGGGATCCCCGGTGCCCCTCGGCTGCCGCCTCTGCACCTGCCTCGAGGGACAGCTGCGACACTGTCGCCCCCACCCCGGCTGCTCAGGTGGGTCCCGGCCCGCTGCCGGCGGGGTCTCCGGTTCCGCTGTCCCCGCGGTGTCACCGGCGGGACCCCTCGCTGTCCCCGCGGTGCTGCCCGGGGCTCCCCCGGTGCCCGGGCGTCCCGGGTGACCCGGTGTCCCCCGCAGTGGACTGCGGGTGGTCGTCCTGGTCGCCGTGGGGCGCGTGCGCTGGCGGCTGCGGGACCCCCGGCGTGCAGTGGTCGTTCCGCAGCCCCTCGAACCCGGCCCGGCGCGGGGGGGGCCGCCACTGCCGCGGCATCTACCGCAAGGCGCGGAGGTCAGCGGGGCCGGGGGGCGGCCGGGGGGCGGCCGGGGGGTCCCGGCGGTGTGTGACGGTCCCTCTCGCAGGTGCCGCACGGCGCCGTGCCCGCGGTGCCAGCAGCGGGGCCGCTGGCGCGTCCCCGGCGAGCGCTGGCGGGGGGGGCCGTGCCAGCTGTGCCAGTGCCTGCCCGGCGGGGCCGTGCGCTGCGTCCCCTACTGTCCCCTCCGCGAGTCCGGCTGTCCCCAGGTGAGTGGGGGGCGCGGGGGGCGGGACGAGCCGCGGCTGGCGGTGGCGGTGACGCTGCCCGTGTCCCCAGGGCCAGGCGCTGCGGGAAGGGGACGCCGGCTCCTGCTGCTCCTGCGGCCCCGCGGGTGAGTCGGGGGTCCCGGGGGAGCCAGGGGAGGTGGAGGTGACCCCCGTCCCCTCGTGCCCGTCACCGCCGTGCCCGTCCCCGCTGCAGGTGACAACGCCACGGCCACCCCGCCCGGGATGACGACGGCGCTGTCCCCGCCCGGTGCCGAGGCCCCCGGCAGCCCCGGGTACGAGAGGGGCACGGGGGGAGCACCGGGATCTGGGGGTCCCCAAAGCCCGCGGGGGGCACTGGGGGCGTCCCCCGCTGCCCCCCTCCCTCACCTTGCCCCCTGCAGCCCCACGGCCGGGCCCGAGGGGCCCAGAAGCGCCGAGACCCCCCCGGAGTCCCCCAGCGCAGCCGGGGGCACCCCCAGAACCGTGACCCCGTCCGAGGACACCCCGAGACCCCCCGGAGGCTCCGCGACCCCCTACGAGACGGAGTTGTCCCCGCTGGCTCCCACGGGGGTGCCCGCCGCGACCCCCCCAGGTGAGGGGACCCCGGGAGGTGGGGGGGAACGGCCCCCCCAGAACGGCCGCCCCGGGCCGGGGCTCGGCACGGCCGGAGGAGTGCGGGGCTCCAGCAGCGGGACCACCGGGGCTGGGGGGGTGCAGGGGTGCGCCCCCAAAACACGGGGGTCACCCTGCCCCCCCCGCGTCCCCCAGGCTGCGCCCCCCTGCCCTGGGGAGGGTGGGGGTCCTGCAGCCGCTCCTGCGGGGTGGGGGTCGCTCTGCGGCGCCGGAGGGAGACCCCGCCCGAGGGGGGCTGCGCCCACACCCCCGACACCGACACCCGCGTCTGCTTCCTGCGAGCCTGCCCAGGTACCCCCAAACCCTGTGAGCCTGTCCAGGCACCCCCAAAGCCCGAGAGCCTGCCCAGGCGCCCCCAAACCCCGAGAGCCTTCTCGGGTAGCCCCAAACCCTGCGAGCCCTGCCCAGGCGCCCCCAAACCCTGTGAGCCTGCCCAGGCATCCCCAAACCCGCACCCGCCCGGGCTGCGACCCCCAGCAGGGGGGGACCCTGGAACCTTCAGTAGGGCGAGGACCCCCTTTGGGGTGGGACCCCCGGGGGTCTGGGCTCTGCGGGGAGTGGGACCGATGCCCGTGTCCCGGCTGGGACCCCCCGAGTCTGGGACCTCCCCAAGGCCTGGGACCCCCGTCCCCGGCCCATGGGGATCCTGGGGGGGGTCTCGGGGTCGGGAGTCCCCAGCTGCGGGGGGCTCGCTGCCACTCGAGGGTTCCGGAGGGTCCCCAGGGGGGCACTCTGGGTGAGGGGGTGCCGGGGGTGGCCCTGGGGCGGGGTGGGGGTGCTGACGCCCCTGACCGCCCCGTGCCCCCCCAGTGGCGGGCGGGTGGGCGCCCTGGGGGTCCTGGAGCGCCTGCGACGCCCCGTGCGGGGGGGGACAGCAGAGCCGCGGCCGCAGCTGCAGCGACCCCCCCCCAAAAAACGGGGGGCGGCCGTGCGAGGGAGGGGCCCTACAGAGCCGGCCCTGCAACCTGCGGCCTTGCGGGGACCCCCCAGGTACGGGGGCACGGGGGGCTTCGGACACCCCTCCAACATTGTTCCCCATCCCTAAACGCCACCACTGCCCCTCCCTG